TGCGTGCGTGCATGCGTCCATACGTGTGTGCGTGCGTGCGTGAGTATGTGTGCGTGTGTTTGCGCGTGCGTGTGTGCGTGCGTGCGTTCGTGTGTGTGTGTGCTTGTGTTTTTGCGAGCGAACGTGCGTGCGTGTGTTTGTGCATGTGTGTGCGTGCCCGTGCGTGTGTGCATGCGTGCGTGCATGCGTCCATACGTGTGTGCGTGCGTGCGTTCGTGTGTGTGTGTGCTTGTGTTTTTGCGAGCGAACGTGCGTGCGTGTGTTTGTGCATGTGTGTGCGTGCCCGTGCGTGCGTGCATGCGTGCGTGCATGCGTCCATACGTGTGTGCGTGCGTGCGTGCGCGCGTGCGTGCGCGCGCGTGTGTGTGTTTGTGCGCGTGTGAGAGATTCTCCTACCGTAACCGCCCCCGGTCCAGGGGTTCTGCTCGTACTCTGTGAGCAGGTCGATGGCTTTGTGCACAACGCTGATGGCAGAGTTGACGATGAGCGTGGTCGACTCCTGAGACCGGATGACGTGTATCTGATTCCACTGACCGTCGTTGAACCCTGTACCGGAACAACGTCAGAGATCACGTGATCGTACATCGCCGACACGATCCACGGCAGACGCGTGTTCAGATAATGGATCGATGATGTATCGATGAAGTATTGGTTATATATTGATGCTGTATCGATGACGTATTGATGATGTATGGATGATGTATCGATTGCATATCAATCATGTATTGTTGATGTATTAACGATGAACGATGAATTGATGATTTATTGATTATATCGCCCATATTTGACGTCACGAGGCGGATACACACGTACTAACATCGATTGTTTACCGTAATACAGTAACGTTCACTACATTCTAATGAATGTCGACTGAATTCCTCGTATGAATTCTCCGTAACATGTTTAAATGCCAACTGGATTTGCATTGAAGTGATGATAAAGTAGCGCTAAGTACTACGACATCGCGGCCGTTAGATGGCGCTAGCTGCTATGTGATCGCGGCCACCAGGTGGTGCTGCTTACTACGATATTGGCGCTTTGTTGCGCTAGGTAGTACGACATTACGGCCGATAGGTCACACTACCTTCTAGCCGCACGCCGACCTGCTCGATGCGACTGCCGGAGTTGAAGGAGAAGAGAACGTTGTACTTGTCGTCGGTGTGAAGCTGAACGAAGTTGTTCACGTGATCGTTCACGTACATCATGATCGAGTTCTTCTGGTACGTGCGGAAACTGTAGCAGCGCGTGGAGGAGAGAAATGTAAAGTTACACAACTCACACACGAGTTATCGCTGTTAAATTATGATGCGATATTAAGTTAAAGTTATTATGCGATTAGATAATATAATACGAGAATAATGCGGTGAAATAATGCGAGATATGCTGCGACACAGTTCTTCTGGTACGTGGGGAAACCAACGGCGAGAATGAAATGTAGGAAGAAGGTTTACAACACACAAGTTATCGCTGCTAAAGTATGATATGATATTAGGCTATTGCTGTTAAATTATGCGTTTAGATATTACAAACATAATATAATCTTTAATATATATATTATAATCTTTCTTTATATATGACAAAGATAATACAATGCGATGCAGGCAGACCAGGGAAGTGAAAGCACGGCAAGTTAACGTATAAGACGGTAAGGTACGATAAGAAAAGATGCAATAGAGAACAGTTAGATGCAGTGAGATCCACTAAGGTCGCATAAGGATGCTGTGATAATATGACAGTAAGATTATATGGCAGACGACAGGATAGGATGATGTCACATGCCTGAGGCGGATATCCGACGTAAGTAGATTAGTTTCGGGGGTAGCTCCCTTCTGATAGATCTTGTATAGAGGCTTGGCTCCCTCCAGGAACATGACGGGGTCTGTGTTGATATCTGCGGGAGAGATTAATGATTATTACACAGACCGGAGAGAGACGAACAGCCGTGCCTGTATGTAGAACACACACGCATGCGCCCACGCACGCACACACACACACGCGCACACACACACACACACGTACACACACACGTACACACACACGCACACACACGCACACGCGCGCGCACACGCACAAACACAAATACAAACACACGCACACCTGCACACGCAGAAACACACGCGCGCACATACTCACGCGCGCACGCGCACACACGCATGTGATATAATGTAGAATGTATTATGTACAATTTATAATGTATCATGTATAATATGTATGTCATAATGTATCATGTATAATATGTATAACTCACTGGACATGCAGCCGATGTAGTTGTCGTAGCCAGCGTGTATATCGTCTGCTCTGTCCGAACCTCCCATCCACAGCTGACTCACAGCGTTCAGCACAATCTCTCCGTACACGGCCTTCCTCGTCGTCATGGCATCCACCTAGCAGACGAGAATTCATTCATTCTGAATCCGCGCGCTTACCCGGAGAAAAGCCCGAAGTTTCCTACTCCCAACCGTTTCTTTAGAAAACTGCTCGGTGTAATAGGAATTCCTTGAGATAATATAATTCGAATGTCGCGTAAAGGTTGAATTAGTTACGGTACCATAGTGAATCGAGATGGTTACGAGAGAAGAAATACTTCCTAGCAGGCAGGCATGATGGCAAGCACGTGCGAGACCACACAGGTACGCAGGCAGCAAGCAGGCATGCAGGCGAGAAGGTAGGCAAGCAGGCAGCAAGCAGGGATACAGGCAGGCAGGCAAGCGGGAAAGAAAGTAAGCGCGCACGAGAGCACACAAGTACGCGTGCAGGCAGGCACACGCATGCACGCAGGCAGGCAGGCAGGCAGGCACGCACGCAGGCAGGGAGCACGAGGCAGGCAGGGAGCACGAGGCACGCAGGCAGCACGAGGCAGGCATGCGTGCAGGCAAGCAGGCATGCAGGCAGGCAGGCAGGCAGGCAGGCAGGCAGGCATGCAAGCAGGCACGCAGGCAGGCAGGCATGCAAGCATGCACGCAGGCAGGCAGGCACGCACGCAGGCAGGGAGCACGAGGCAAGCAGGCAGCACGAGGCAGGCAGGCATGTAGGCATGCAGACAGGCAGGCATGCATGCAGGCACGCAGGCATGCAGGCAGGCAGGCACGCAGGCAGGCAGGCAGGCACGCAGGCATGCAGGCATGCATGCAGGCAGGCATGCATGCATGCATGCATGCAGGCACGCAGACATGCAGGCAGGCAGGCAGGCACGCAGGCAGGCAGGCACGCAGGCAGGCACGCAGGCATGCAGGCATGCATGCAGGCAGGCATGCATGCATGCAGGCAGGCATGCATGCATGCAGGCAGTCACGCAGACAGGCAGGCACGCAGACATGCAGGCAGGCATGCAGGCAGGCAGACAGGCAGGCATGCAGGCAGGCATGCATGCATGCATGCAGGCAGGCACGCAGACAGGCACGCGCGCAGACATGCAGGCAGGCATGCAGGCAGGCAGACAGGCGGGCATGCAGCAGGCAGGCATGCAGGCAGGCACGCAGACAGGCAGGCAAGCAGGCAGCCTAAGTTACCGATGTTAGCCTTAGTTACCGATGTTAGCCTTAGTTACCGATGTTAGCCTTAGTTACCGATGTTAGCCTTAGTTACCGATGTTAACACCTACCGTAAGCACGGCGTCACTCTGCCTTCTCGTATACACCAACAGGTGGCGCTTCCCATCGTCGAATGTACCCTGAACTCTGATCTCGGCTGCAATAGGCGCGAAAACCACAATGTGACGTCACGATACGCTGCTGCCAGTACCAGCTTCAATATAGCATATATATTTATAACAACACGTACGTACGCGACGTGGTGCAGTGCGGCACAGGCGAATGGCGAGGGGACGCCTTTCGGCCTGCAGTGGCCTTGGGGACCCCTGATGTGACGTCACCTCGCTAGTCATATATATATGGCCACACCTTGGGAGCGCTTGAGTTTTCAAACGCGCGCACATTTACGATTTATGTGTTAGACAACTGGATTTTTGGACTCTTGCTCATGTGTGTGTGTTGTGAGCAACAATAAATTCTTGTGCGTAGAAGTTTACTTTTGGACTTATTTGCGTGATCGCTTTTCCTTCGAGCGGAAACGCAACACGAACGAATTGGATTTGGAAATTAATGCAATTATACAATTGCTACGAATCAAGGAATAACACAACGCAAGGCTTAGGACAATAATACGATCACGAGCCACACAGTCGGATGTCTCCCGAACTGAAACAGTTACGCTACTAGGTTTCATATGTATATGCATTTGTATATGTATATGTATATGTATATGTATATGTATATGTATATATATATGTATATGTATATGTATAT